GTTGTGAAAAAGTGATAACATTATCTGAATGAGTTGCCTATATACAGTACCAGGATAAAGGGGGCATTGACGTAGGCAGAGAGCGTCACAAGCTGCCAGGGTTACTTCCTTTGTCCATCTAAGCATTGGTTTGATTTTTTCTCACTTTCTCCAGTCTTTTATACCCCACTCAATTGCTCTTGGCAATATTTGACTCGTGATACTCTCCACCTATGTTAATGCACCATCTATCCTGGTACTTTATATAAGCATCTAATTCAGACAAGGTTATCACTTTTTTCGAGACTGACTCAATCTGCAGTCTTTAACAACGGTTCTTACTGGGGAGGAAGGGTGGAAAAGAAGGTAAGTATTATTGGAAATACATTTTCAATTTAGGAAAATGTTATCTTCCAAAACATTCTTACCTCCTCTCACACTACAACTAGAATCCCACATTGTTGAGGTAGGATGGCCAATGAGGGCATTAGCCATACAGAAAGTATCTGCACAGACCGTGGGTGTGTCAACAGAAGATTGGCACCCGAGTAGGAGAACCGCACTACATCCAGAACATGTATGTTCTTCACCCAGAACTTAGTTCATCACTTATCGTCACTACTGGCCAGGCCCCAACCAATTAGCCAAGGTTCCAAGGGGTTGGAATTATAGGGCCATGGTCCCTATATCCCACATTTGTGGAGTTGGAATTATAGGGCCATGGTCCCTATATCCCACATTTGTGGAGTTGGAATCATAGGGCCATGGTCCCTATATCCCACATTTGTGGAGTTGGAATCATAGGGCCATGGTCCTTATATCCCACATTTGTGGAGTTGGAATTATAGGGCCATGGTCCCTATATCCCACATTTGTGGCAAGGGCAATTGGACTGCAAAATTATATATATATATATATATATATTTATTTACCTTTATGAATGGATCCCAACCTGTAGCAATATACTGATGTGCTCCAATCCACCTGAATCTCAATAAAAAGGTAAGCAACACCGATGTGGACAAACTTTCTCCTCAACCTGAAGAAGTCCGAAAGGCAACACCGCAGGCTCGGAATGATGGGATCTTGTATGCCTTACTAAACCTGAGAAAACAGAACTCATTTGGTCTGGAATTATAAACACTCATCCTCACTCCCTAACCATGTAGGCAGGATAAGTTCCACTTATCCCAGGAATTATGGGGAGGATGCCGAACAAACTGTGCTAAACCAAGGACCCAGATGGGACTACTCTGTGTTTGGAATTAATAGGAGACAATGAATCCTCTTCCATGAACAATGTATTGAACCAATATCGAGCAAAAAAGAAAGTCCGTGCTCAACCCAACCAGATAGCAGAGCATCAAATCTGAATCAGTATTACGAGTAGGCTCCTGCATAGGCTGGTACCTCTCCTATCGTTATCTGGGAAAAAAAACATACAAAGACCCAGTTAGGAGGGCTTGCAACTTTGCCCTCTTTTTCTAAAAGTAGAGGAATTCACTTGTAACACTCTGGAGAAAAAGCCTCTGCCCATCATCCCAGCAAATGGAAGCCAGGTGTGGTAAGGACTCCCTAGCTTCACAAGTAGAATCTTGGGGGTAATACACATTGAAGAGCCCCAAGGAACAGTGCAATAGGTGAACCAAGTTCCCTAAATTTTGAAAAGCAATCCAACCCAATTTATTCAATCAATTAATGGGCAGAATCCCCTTATGCTTTACTCATGATAGTCAGAGTTGATGAAATTCAACAACATGGATGAATGTAGACGCCAACAATCAAACTAATGTGCATGTTAACAATGGTTCCAGCTCATCATCAATGAAGTTGGTGATCTTGAGAGTCTGCAAACAAAGTTGAGTGTAAGGATAACAAAACGTTGGATTTCAGAGTTGTAAGTCCATAGACTTACCCTGTCCCACCAAGGGACAACGATCTATTCAGGTTAACTACAAACTCTGCCTTAGAAACCCTAACTTTGAAGAGTAGATGTATTATTTGAGAGTCAAAATATGCTTTCACCTAGCAATGGTAGGATAAATCACAAAGTTTCGGCAACCATGTCAGATAAGACATAACTGCCCCTTCACATAACTGAGAAGTGAACCTCCTTGCATGTAAAGAAAATTGTACATTTGCTCCCTGACCTTTCAGCCATCAAGTAAGGTGCAGGCTCAAAAGCAACTGTGGAAATACCCAAAACATCATACTCTTGAAGAACAAACTGAAGAAAACAAATCAGAGGCAGCTTATCCTAAAGTAGCCTCAAGTTTTTATTTCTTTTAAAGACTGTTCTGATTCCCATTGATTAGAACAATAGTTAGTCAGGTATGTTTGTTTTGTTTGAGCAACATTGGGCTATATACTGTGTCTGCTATAGGGAATCGAACCCCGGATCCAAGCCCCTTGGAACCAAATATATATCTCCATCTTACTACAAATAAGACTACTGGCAAGATCAACCAAGAGACCTTATTTGCCTCCATGCTGAAAATAATAATCCAGGTGTTAATACCATAAATCAGCTTGCCAATCAGAATTTTGTTTTATTCCTGAAAATAAAGTTGGTAACATGGAGAACACTAAAAGTATCTCCAAACTTTCGTAGCAGCACTGGAAAACAAGTTAGTGACACTTAGTTGTGAAAAAGTGATAACATTATCTGAATGAGTTGCCTATATACAGTACCAGGATAAAGGGGGCATTGACGTAGGCAGAGAGCGTCACAAGACAAATATTGCCAAGGGTAATTAAGTGGGGTATAAAAAACTGGAGCAATCAAGAAAAAAATCAGACCATTGCTTAGATGGGCAAAGGAAGAAACCCTAGCAGCTGAGTATTAGCTGTAATGTGAGATGAGGTATGTATTGGTATATGGTTATTATATCATGCATGAGCAGTTCTTGCACATTCTTTACTGGGAAATTTTTTGTTTTTTTTTCATTTAAGTTTTCTTATTTAACCTAACAAATTTTAAATTTTTATATTTAATTACTTTTATAACACTAAATAAAAAATATTCATAAAAAATGCATGAATTTAGTATTTATGTATGGATCTTGTACATTTTTTCTCTTATAGTCTTGATAAAAGTTAACCCTAATATTTTATAGGGTTCTCGTTAGTACAATACTTAATTCTTATTTATTTCAAATAGGCAACTTACAGCACAAAATAATAACATGCACGAAGAATATATAACATCATGTAACTAATATAATGTAATCAGCTTTCTAATTAATATACAAGTTAAAATAATACCTTTGGCTGGTTGAGTGGACCTCAGTGATAACAAATTTTTAAATCGATATAAAATAACTGTCATCAGAATGAGCTGGCCTTATAACTAAAGCAATAAATTAAATATTTTCTTTCTATTGGTTATAGATAATCCAGCAGCAAATTTAAGAGAAAATTATTGACATTTTTTAAGACAGGGTGTGATGAGAAGGCATGGTATGTAGGTTTGATTTTCTGGTTTTTTATATCTCAGTGAAGCAAGACTGCTGAAGGCTATAAATATAGATTGTGCCTTGGCAATATCTATTCCATAAATGAGTAGTTTATGTTAAACTAGGGACATTATAGAGGGATAGTAAATAATCTAAAATGGACAATCCGGAGTAAAGATGTGTCACATGATACATAGAAATGATGATTGAGAATTTATTTCCATGTTTTCTTTGGAAATTAAGAAATTAAAACTGAATAGATAATATTAAAATTTTAACTACATTTTTATGCCAAGTCCATTTGAAATACATTGATAATAAATAGTTCAGTTAAATTTTGAATATAACTCTCTGTAAGCTTGTGATATGTGCAATTTGACCCTACCTAATGTTAGAGGGTTAAACTATCTGGAACGCTATTACAAAATGAGTCAAAAAAGCAAAAAAAAAAAAAGATTTTTAATACAGAAAAATCAGGATATATACATGTAAGCTTGTAATGTACATTACATAATCAGGTGTACGAAAAGATGTATTTCAATTATTCATTATTACCTGGAGGAACAGGAAGTTCTTCATAATTTGTAGGTTTGCCTGCTTTGTGGTTTTTAATAGCATCTTCATATTGCTACAGAATAGAAATGAAGATAACTTACAACAAATTTGTATTTACAGTGAACATTCCATTCTATTCTACAATCTTACTACTACTACAGTCCTAACAAATGGATTAAGTTTTTCAATATCCATACATATTATGTCATATGTTATTTTATTATGGCACGTGTCCTAAAACACCCATTTATCTTATTCAGTTTTTTTGTATGACCACCGTCGTCAAACTAGTGTAAAAATATTACATCCATTATTTAATAAGCTCTTAAAAGATCCTGAACACCAAAAGGTTAAAACCTATGAGTAAAGGTACTTTAACATCTGATGAATCATGGCAGTACTCAACAAAGCTTATATGCAGGTGTAAAAACTGTGTAATGATATAATTATCAGTGCAATATATTAACAATGATAGCAAGATGTCTAGGCTTTTAATGATTGGTTTTAATTATCTTCAACTAATATATTGTAACCAGAAAAAACTCTTTATTTTAAATTTATGATTTGGAAAACTTTTCTTGGCCAAATAGTTATTTTAACTTAATATTTCTTACGTTTTGTTTTCTCAACTCTTACTAATCAACTAAACCAGTTAAAAAAAACAAACTTAAAAATTGACTTTTAAATTTATTTATACGCAAGCCGAATGTTTACTATTGAACAGAGATAATCTTACACGACGGTAATCAATAATAGATTATTTGTATAATATGAGAATCTATTTGTCCCATGTATTCTTTCAGATATATCCTTTGTGTGTTCTTTTAGATTCATCAACATTTTGTCTCGTGCGTTCTTTCGGATACATTATTTATATTCTGCTTTTTTTGTTTAGATACATCATTCACATTCTGCCTTGTATGTTATTTCAGATACACAGGCCTCTCTGCAGTCTCTCAGAAACATACAAGACAAGTACTGGAATATTTTTCACAAATATTCAGGAGAAATGTGGGAATTTAAAATATATTTTGGGACAAAATAGACAACTATATTACACATTCACTATCAGCCTTAAGTGTTCTTTAATATCAGTCATACGTATGTTTTGCCTTGTGTTGTGTCATATATATCATACACATTAGCCAGCATGAATTATCAGGTTTAATACCAAATAATCATTTAATTCTTCAGTGAAAATAGTTATTGAATTGAATACAGCTTTATAAAACATATGTACATATTCATACATGCTTACCTTAAAAATGTATTTCAATTTGTTTACATAACTGCTTTGGTTTAACGGGAATGACTGTCGTTACCTTGTGGTATCACAGTACAAGTACAAACTACTACTAGGTCTGCCCGTGAAAGTTCTGATATCTGTAAGTAACAATTCCTATTAACGTACATTTATTGTTATATTGTAGTGATTGCATTTAAGCCAGTTGAAGCAGAATTTCAATGGCTATGTTTCCGCCAATAACAATACGTGTGTAGATAAAGAAATTGTTGGATAATATTAAGTATAGTGCAAACTTAGATAGTTTGTTATCGGTCTTGCGCTACAGTTGAAACATGAAATTCAGGATTATCTAGGTATCTGTAAGTTTAACAATCAATATGCCTAGTCTGGTTCAAAATGCCAAAACCCAATGAATGATCAGTAGCTATCATTAATGAAATGCCCAGCTGAGATTGAGACTCAAAAATACAGTGAAAAAATATTATATGACTGTCCATGAATAGCAATATAACCACAGAAATTGCATTACAGCTAGCACAATAATAGCACTGTTTACATTTATTGGTCTTTTTGGTCATGTCTGGATAGTATTTGTTTGTGCATGCACTTTGACACTATTATTTTTCTTTTCAATAATAGTTATTCATTGCTATGGCAACAAGATGTTGTGTAAATGACCCAATCATATCCTGTTATATTTGTGGAAAATTCGTTGTAAAGAAACAAAGGCAAAACATTACAGAATTAGTAAAAAAAAACGTATTATGCGTATTTTGGAAGAAAACTTGGGGACCAAGACAAATCATGGGCTCCACACAAAGTTGGAACCATTTGTGTCAAAGTGTTGAGAAAATAGACTAAAGGTAAGAAAAAGTCCATTCCAATGGTATGGCATGAGCCTAGAAATCATGGAAGTGACTGCTATTTTTGCTCATGTAACATGCAAGGCTACAACACTCAAAATAAAAAGGAAATTTCTTATTCGAACCTTCGTTCTGCTTTTAGACCTATTGCTCAAGGACCTGATGTACTTATACCTATTCCACCAGAGACTCTTGATACAGTTTCATCTGATTCTGAAGTTAATATAAATGATGATAGGAGTTGTTTTCAACTTGAAAAGTCTAGTGAACTACAACTTTTCATAAATTGATTTGGTGAGAGATTTGGGCCTTCCAAAGGATTCTTCAGAGATTCTGGGGTCCAGACTTTGGACTAAAAACTTACTACCTCCAGAGACATCATTTTACTGGTACAGAAATCATGAGAAAGAGTTTATACCATACTTTTTTGCAAGAAGGTTCATTGGTTTATTGCAACAATATTGCTGAATTAATACCAATGCTGGGAGCTGCAGTCTGTGAATCAAATGAGTGGTGATTGTTCATTGATTCCTCCAAAAGAAGTCTAAAAGGTGTTCTCCTTCACAATGGTAACACATATACATCTCTTCCTATTACTCAAATGGTTCACTTGAAGAAAACGTACGAAAATATCATACTTCCTCTTAATACGGTCAAACAAATACAAAGAGCATGATTGGCTACTTTGTGGAGACTTCAGAGTCCTTTGTATGTTGTTAGAACAACAATCCAGTTATACAAAGTTTCCATGTTTTTGTGTGAATGAGACAGCAGAGCATGAAAAAGAATCAATGGCCACGCAGAATCAGCCTGATACCAGGATCAAAAATATGGAACATGAAAGTGTCATTGACATAAAGAAAGTCCTATTACCTCCACTTCACACAAAACTGGGCTTGATGAAGCAGTTTGCACAGGTGTTAGACAAAGATGGCAATTCCCAGCTCTTTCAGAAGCGAAACTTAAAGAAGGGTTTTTCATGGACCTCAGATTAAGAAATTGAATTTGGATGATTAGTTTGAAAGGAGAATGAAGAAAGATGAAAAAGAAGCGTGGATTTCTTTTAAAGATGTTATTGACAAATTTTTAGGAAACAACAACGACCCAAATTACAAAATTATTGTCAATAACATGCTCCAAATATTCAAATAGTTGGGTTGTAATATTAGCTTGAAAGTTCATTTCTTACAATCACATATTGACTATTTCCCTGAAAATCTTGGTGCCATCAGCAAAGAACAAGGAGAAAGGTTTCATCAAGAAATCAGGGAAATGGATAGGAGGTATCAGGGAAGGTGGAACATCAGCATGATGGCTGATTACTGCTGGACATTGAAACGAAATGCTCCAGATTCAATACATAAAAGAAAGACCACAACACGTAGGTTTGAGACTAACAGACATAAATTTCACAAAAAATATCAGGATGAATGAGGATGTATATTCCTTTGACATCAATGTTCTTCTCTTCAGTTTATTTGTATTTTTGTTAACAAACATAATAATAAAAAATGTTCATTGTGGTAAACTAAATAATAATTTCATATAAGTAAGAGTTTTTTTTTCCATCGCAATTTGTAAAAAATCCTTACGTGATAGAAAAAAATTAATATTTTTGCAATCTGCATAGCTGAATTATGTAAAGTCCATTATTAAGATAAAAAAAACTTTTATGAAGCATAAATTTGCAGGCCTATGTAATTGTAAATCTTGTTTTTGATCAGTTGATTATTTGCAACACTAATTGATTATGCCAAACCATCTTGAATTAATCTAAAATAATAATGAAAAATCATAATGACAATATTTCTATTACTGGTTAGTTGGAATAACCAACAATGGTAATAACTGGAAACACTAGTTTTTATTATTTGATAGGTGAAATAATTAAAAACGGTAAGAATCAGAAATACTAAACGATTATTTTTGTTGCATTAATCGATTTAATTGATTATGTAACACTGATCAATATAATCAATGCGTAAAGGTGATCAATTAATTGAGTTAATTGGTCAACTATAGTGTAGTTGCATTTACTTTTATGTAATATGTATGTTAAAAGTTAACAAGCAATACTTGTTTAAATATTGTATGCAGTCATATAGTTCCACGTTTCGGTAGGCTAAAAACACTTGTATATGAATAAGTCTGAGCTAATAACATCTGAACTATGCTCAGTCCATTTAAATAAAAAAAGACAAACTTAAAATGTAATTCAAGTAGACTTTTTTCTCATTTGAAAACTTTCAGAAATTGAGTGGGAAGTTATGACCTTGCATATTCTTCCTAATCTTCGAACTTTACTATTTTGGCCTTCATTTTTGGCAACTTCCATAGTGCTGCGATATTTCTCTAGTCTTTGTTCAAGAGCTTCTTCAATAGATGCTGGTGGAGGTGGAGCTTTAAATAAGCTGGGATCATCAGGAGCTGTCATAAAAAATACCATTACTGGAATACATAAATAGTGTTAACATTCATTAAATAAACTGGGATCATAAAAAATACCATTACTGGAATACATAAATAGTGTTAACATTCATTAAATAAGCTGGGATCATAAAA